GGTCGCTACCCGGAATCGAACCCGGGACTTTGAATGAGAGGCCAACACCTTAACCTCTAGGCCACGAGAGCCCCAACATTGTTATTTAGATCTAGTTGCGATTATATTATTATACAGTTCCCATGAAATATCTTACGGGTTTTTATACTATGAAAGGGTAGCCTAAACAGTAGAACAAAAACAAAACAAAAACAAAAACAAAAACAAAACAGAACAAAAACAAAACGTATGAACTCAATCACCACGTTTTATTTTCTCATTCTGAAGTAAATTTTTCAAGAGCCTAAGTGGCATGAGCTTAGTTCCTGTAATAGACCTATCAGACGCTTCGTAGTCTGACGATGAGGGTGTGTCTAATATTAGACGCATAATAGCGAAACTGTGTTTTTTATGTCTTAAGGAAAGAAATAAGCAACAAGTAAAATTGCTTAAAAAAGTAATCAAGAGTGCAGAAGAAAATAAAATTCCCATAGAGACGCAATGTTTTTCTGTAGAAGAAGTCTAAATAAAAAACCCCCCAAATTTTAAAGACACGGGAGTGGGCGCTATAGAAATGATCTTCATTATTGTTATTATTAGATACTGTTAAGAGCTCGACAAAAACAGAAAACAAAATAAAAAAAAAGAATAGGGCTGGAATAAAAGACAAATTTTGTCTTTGACTTCCCGAACACTGAACTTTTCAGCACAGAAGTTCGTTATCAGAGTTGTTCTCTGACGACTGTTATCAACGTCCACTGCTTGTCTCGCCCAGCGATCTTCTGCGTCTTCGTCTGCAGTCTTACTTAACGGTACTGCATTTTACTAATATGTACTTCCTAAACATCTTGTTATGTCCGTCTAGAGTCTAGACTACTGACGAGAAATCCAGTAAAGGTAATCGATATTTCGTTGTTGTCTTTCCTCTGCTTTAATCTTTGTACGCGAAAATCTGGGCCCAATTATGTTCATTTTTCCCCCAAGTTTTTATTACATTATTCATACAGGTCTACATAAAAGTATATTTATTTTTGTTTGGTTTTGAGGGACGACAGCATAGATTTTAAGGGATTTTTGTTGGAGTTTCTTTACCTCTTTAATGAAGAATTGATTACAATTATTCTCATTTTTCTCGACCTTTTTCGCCTTCTTTTGCACAAGTAGGCTCTTACTGGTGAATGACTTGAGATTTTGTTCGCTATCGCTTTTTGCCATTTACCATGGGTACCAGTTTTGGTAAAAGTCTACTTCAACCCTCTATTTGAAACATATTTGACCTATTATTCACCCCCGGCCGCGGGCTCCACTCTCTGTCGGCCCAATATAGGCAGTAGCCGTGACAGTGTGCGCAACTATGCTTTTAACTTGTTTTGAGAATTGGGGTGGGTGGGGAGGGGGGATGGTTGAAGCTTGACTTTTACCCCTGAACCGATAATTAATTTGAAATTTGTATATTGTTCCGCGAACGTTTAGCACTTTTTAGACAAAAGGGTGGGAAGGAAGGATCCCTTGCCTTATATTGACGCATTCGCTGAGAAAGGACTTCTTGTTTTTGAAAGAACAACAGGAACATGCACCACGGATCAATTTACGTCGTAAACAACAGTCCCTTCACTGCACACTCTGCACAATATACATTCTTTGTCATGTTTAGGATTTGAAGCTTACGTCCGGAACGGCCGAGCCTTAAAGACTGATAGAACTCATCACGCTGCCAAAATTCAGGAAAGGCTCATCGAGGGTTCGAACCTGGCCACTGCATATGTCAACTAAAATGTATTGAGATGCGTACCCAACACAAACATTACATATTTTTCATTATTTATATTCTCATAATGTTTCTCTATTTGGTTTCATAAAGGGACGTTTACCCCTGTCACCCCCACCCACCCTTTCATGTATGTTGACTGACACACACTTCAAGGATTATAATTAATATCATATTGGAGAATGTAGAATCCTCTAGCGTGCTCTTTTGAATGTTCTGCTTTGATAATGACCGTCCCAATAGTATGTGTGAATTTTAGACTCCATACAACTTATTCTATTTACAGGACATATCACGTCACATAGTCTGAGATTTATTTTTATAAAAGCACACTACCCAGCCCAGCGCGCACGGCATAAGAAATACTATGAAGCAAAAATAATTGACAACAAGGCCAGAGGACTGCCAAAAAAATAAATGAAGATGAACGCAAAATTGTATCGGTTTAAGAATCATTTCAGTACTGTAAGATTATCTAATCAACGGGGTCCCCGAATTTAATGTCCATCTTTGACTGGACCATGCCAAATCAGCGGAGAGCCTTAAATGTTCCGCAAAACAATCCAAGTTCAGAACTTGGGTTCGAACCAGAACCACCTGCTCCCTTGTCCAGCATGATACCCACTAAGCTGACGGGGCGCGCGCCAGAAGAGACATGGCTTGAAGGAATCAAGGCTTTTTACCATTTCCCATTTAGACAGATCCCCGATCAGCAATAGAGACAGACGCCTAGTTTCTTCCCGCATCACGTCATGGGTAATATTCATGTATAATCAGTAGAATAAATGTAAAGTCAAGTTCATAACTCATCCTTACATTTAATGTCTGAATTAGGATGCAGACCCAAACAGACCAAGCACTGAAGAACAAGAAAACCATTTATTAGTCTGTTATCTTCTGAATTGAGAAGTCCGTAAAATTATTTTTAAGAATTCCAAAGGCCATGGAAGACACGACCGTAAAAACGTGAGAACAAGTCTCATTTCTTCAGTTGGACAACGGGTACAACCCGCCGTCTCATAGGATCACTGCCTCCCCCCCCTCCCCCCCTCCCTCACAGCCCCGTTGACACGTCGGAACCCCGAAAACAAGACATGGAGTTCTTCCCCAATTTGTCACGGCTCACAAAGTACACCAAGCCTAGCGTAGTCCGCCCTCCAAACCAGCCAAAACACGGATTTACACAAGGAAACTGATAATTCTTGAAACGATACAAGGCTTCCAGGTGATAAATTTCCCCGCGGGCTGGCTGTGCCACGTCTGTGGCGAGTCTGGTAGACAAACGTTAGAGAGAGCCCGCCGTGGCCCAGTGTTTACTCAGTGGGCAGCGGTCTCCTGTTTGCCGCCCTTGGGGCACCGACAGAATCTGAAAGCAGGGCCGATGATAAATGTCTTTCCTACGGGTGACGGACTCGGGCCAGGGGAGATAACCGTGACAAAAACACAATGGCGTCGGTCTCTTAGATCACAGCGCGTGGGAGCCGGAATGGGTGAGGGGGGCAGGGGCTGATAACTCACACAGTTCCGCGGCGTTTCGTCAGTCGTGTGGAGCGTTTTGTACGAGGCCTTAGCTTGTGAGTGAGATATTGATAAGAGGAGGGACCCATACTTAAACCAATGACTTTTATTCTATTGTAGTTTCCTCAGCCACTTATACCTATCCTTCAAATGGTAAATCCCTCTGGCCAAGAAAAAGCCCCTTTTTTAACCCCAAAACTCATTTCATGCAACTCCAGAAATAACCACCAAACAAATAGTATAATGTCGTCTACGTTTTTCTACCCAAGCCCAAAAGACGAAAGAAGCCATTCTTGTACGTTCAATGCTTTAAATTCACATGTAGCTCTTTCTCCTAAAAAGACGTCCCAAATACAATTATTTCGGTAAAAGTGAATCTGAGCTCTCCAATCGAAACTTACTTGACTAACTGCACACATTTGGGGTCGTCTCTCTCTTTGTGACCACAACTAGGTCGTTCTGGCGTCATGTGTGAAATATGCTCTTATATTATTTCAAGAATGTGTGGGGGTGGGCTTAAACTGAATTTTATCAAATGAAACTCCTTCACGGTCAGTCCTTGGAACATAGAGCAGAAATGGTAGTAAAAGAATATACAAGCATTACGGAAGTCGATGCTAACGTCGCCAAAGCTCTTTGTTAGTAGTCCCAAAAGATCGTTGTTCTTTCCGATTGAATGTTCTTCCTCAGAGGTTGTAGAAGGCCTTTTCTCAATTATGCACGAAACCCTACCTAGAATTTCCCATCCATATAAACCTTTTATACCTCACGTCCTATCTACTCCCAACGCCTCCCCACATCCCAAGAAAAAGTGCGTTACCATCTCCCCCACCTTCCGACACATTCACAACTTCGGGAACCCCCCCCCTCCCGCTCCCCCAATTCTGCAAACGTAAAGTCGTCTCATCGGTTTGAGAGCAACAAATGACATTTCCAAAATTCAAAATTCAAAATTTTAAAAACAAACAAAACAAATGGCTATAACTTCCATGCTCATGATCTAATATAAATGAAACAAAAGAATGCACTTTTCCTCCAGACCTGCCCCATGACACAAGTGACGCACCTGGTAGTGAAGTTGTTGAGCACCTACATCTCGAATACTATAATTACAAATTGCCCTAGATGTTTTTGTGCAGTCTGATTTTACATGTAAGTGGTGTAGACACAATGCGGAAAGAAGCATTGCAGGATATTGTAACAACAAGTTTGAGGGAGAGAGAGGCAGAGGCAGACAGAGGGAAAAGATACTGGACAAGATGACAACATAGCTCGGAGCAGCAAGAACAACAGACACCATTGCTGCAACGCAAGACAGAGTGAAGTGGAGGTCCATGATCGCCCACGCCCGTCGGCAAGGCACCTGATGATGATGATGATGGTATAGACTAGGATTCGCTCCTCTCGCAACCAAGTAATTTTATTTAAGATGTGAAATTTCCCACTGGACGTCCAATAATGATGTGGCCGAGACAAAGGTAGGAAGGGCAAAGAAAATCCAAATAGCCCAATGTAAGTCCAAACATATCCTTTAAACAATTCCGATTTGGGTCATTCACGCCGCAGTTCAAGACGATACCAACTGATCTGACGGCGCTTCCTTAATCCTCTGTCTTTGTCTATCTGTGCCCTTAGATATCAATTGCAATGCTAGCTGAGCATCATTATAACACCTCCCCCAAAAAAAAACCTCAACAAAAACAAACAAACAACACCCCTCCAAAACAAAACAAAACAACAATAACAACCCAACCAAGCAATCAACCTAATAAACAAAGGACCCCCCCCCCAATCAAAACAAATAAATAAACAGAAACTGTTTATTGACCCCGCAAGAGGTAGTAATCTGTTGTTTCTGATTCTTGATAAAGAATAAAAGAAAAAAACAACCCAACAAAACAACTACAGCAATAAATAGTGAGTAAAAAATTTAGTTTCAAAGTGCCTTAAAATTTGAAAAAAGAGGTCTGATCAGTGACCGAGAAACGCCTGCAGAGATCCCAACAAATAAAATATCAATTAAGATAATTTTTAAAAAATGATGTCCTTTCAGGACGCACAAAGTAATCCGTCATTCTTTGAGGAAGGTGTTCGTTTTCTAAAATTATTACTATCGTTTTTCCATTATTTTTCTTTTTCCTTTGGGGGGGGGGGTGATTGGAGGGGGTAGGGGAAGATGTAGTTCGAAAAAGAGTCCGTGGGCATCAGGGGAGAGGTTATCAAACTTCTGAAAAGGTGTCTCAGTCCGAGACCACACAGGTGAGTCTCAGAGAATGGAGGTGTCGGGCAAACCGGTTTGTACAGGCATTAGGAGTATCCAAGAAGGATTAAGGGTTTGGTGGTAGGTCTTGTTTTCGATGTTTGTCGACGATTATATGTTCCAGGGTGTGAAAATAGGACAGGCCTCCGAGCGGATCTTGTCGATCAGGATGACAATTGATAACAGTGAAGCTTTTAGAACTTGCACAAATATTTATTTTGGGTCAAACATAAATGTAAACGAATGGAAAAATAAGACAAAGAAATGTTGGTGTCGTTACTGTATATCATCCTCCTCCTCCTCCTCCTCCTCCTCCTCCT